CAGTATAGCTAGAAGAAAGTAATGTACTACCTAACATTATAGGATCCAGAGACTGTCATCGAAAAGTTGGAGAAATGAAATGAAAGGAAGCTGTAATGGAAAGCACTGTGGTATAGTGGAAATAAGTCATTACAGCCAATAAGACTTGGGTGGGAAACCAGGCTCCAACACTTACGTAAGATATATGATGTTGGGCAAGTTGCTTTGTTTCTGAGGTTCAATTTCCTCTTACATAAAATGGGGGATAATTATACTAACCTCATAGAGTTGCTTGAATCGTAAAGCACCTAACAGTACTGATCACAGTAGACACTCAACTTACCATTTATTCTTCTTTCTCTCATTAGTGAGGATATATATTTTAAAAATTCTAGTTTTTATAGCAGCTGCTCATGGAAGGCCTTTGTTACTGACTGTGGCCATGGAGTTATAAAAGATGTAATAGATAAGCAAAGACATAGTGGAGCTACACTTAAATCTGTGTGTGTGTGTGTGTGTGTGTGTGAGAAAGAGACAGAGAAAGAAATGAATGAATATGAATGAGTTATGAAATATTGCTGAAACGGACTAAAACAATACCCTTAAAACTAGCAGAAGACCAAGAATCTATTCCTTCTACTGAAGGAATAATTATTGCTAGCACTTCGGGTAACTAGATAACAAGCACACAGCTTGATTTCCTGGTGATAATGGTAGCTGGCTGACTGAGGTCCAATCTAAAGATCTGTAGGTCACCATCTAAAGCTTTAAGGGGATCAGCATGTATTCTATATATAGAGAGATGATGTCATCAAGAGTTAAAATCAGAAAATAAAACTGGGAAATATAAAGGCTGAAAAAAGGGGAGGAAGATACAGCTGTCTCCTAAGTGTAAAACTTGGATCTCCTGTCTTCTATTTATACTCATTCTCTAGACTACTTCATCCAGTCTCATGATTTAAAATACTCTGTATGTGGTAACAACTTCCAAATATATATCTTTAGCCCTGACCTTTTCCTTAAACTCCAGGCTAATATGTTCAACTGCTTACTCAATATTTCTAGTAGAATTTCTAACAGGATCTCAAACTTAACATGTTCAAAATATAATTTCTGATTTCTACTCCCTAATCTTTCCCACCTGGGTAAACAGCTTTATCCTTACAATTGCTCAGGCCAAACCTTGGAGTTCATCTTGACTCCTCACTTTCTCTTACATTCTACTTTCAATTCACTAGCAAATCCTGTTGGCTGTACTTTCAAAACATATCCTGGAATGGATTACTTTTCATTACCGCCACTGCTACTACTCTGGTCCAACTCTTGCTGGAATACTGCAATAGCCTTCTAACTAGTCTCACCGCTTTCTACCTTGCCTGTCCCATACTCTGTGCCACATAGAAGCCAGAGTGAAGATTAAAAATTTAAGACATGTTCTGTTATCCCTTCCTTAAAACTGGCCATTTAGAATAAAATGATCTACCTTCTGGTTACCTCTCCAATCTCATCTCCTTTTATTTTACCCCTTGCCCTCTATACTTCAGCCACATTGACCTCCTTGTTGTTCCGCAAACATGACAAGCATGCATTCTTCCTCAGGGCTTTTCCATTTGTTGTTCCCTCTGTCTGGAACACACGTCTCCCCATATGGCATATATCTGCAATGCCTTCAGGTTTCCCACTCAGATGTAACCTCATCAGTGAGGTCTGATTACCCTATCTATAACAGAAGACTCTACCAATTACGTCCAGACAGGAAAACAAAACTCCTCTTAAGTATTTCAAATGGGGGTAGGGAGGGGGGAGGAAGGGAAGATTTAATACAGAGAACTGATTATAAATGTGTAGGAGGTACTGGAAGAACAAAAGGAGAAAAGTGTGTTTCCAAAGATCAGTAACTGCAGGAAGCCACCCTTATCCGTAGGGCTGTCAGGGTAAAGTGATGTTACTTTGAGTTGAGGAGCTTGAACTTCTGCTAATTTTACCTTATTTCCACCTTCTAATATCATATGAATGAATCCCAGTGGTAAAATCTAACTGGATCATGGTGGTAAAAGAATCTGGGAAATCCAGTTTTCAGCTTCCAGCCTTAGTGGCATAGGGGAGAATATAAAAGGGCTGATGTGGGACAAGTTTCAACAGATAATACATGGCATATACCACTGTCACTCTTTATCATCTTACCCTTCTTTATTTTTCTTGATACTATTATCACTATTTGTTTCTTTATTGACTATCTCCCATTAGAATATAAAGTCTATAACCCAAAAACCCATTGCTGTTCAGTCAATTCCAACTCACAACGACCCTATAGGACAGAGTAGAACTGCCCCGTAGAGTTTCCAAGGAGCGCTTGGTGTTCAAACTGTCGACCTTTTGGTTAGCAGCTGTAGCTCTTAACCATTATGTCACCAGGGTTTCCTATAAATTCTGTAAGAGCAGGAAATTTGTCTGTCTTGCTTGTTGCCATCTCCCCAGAAGTCAGAACAGTGCCTGGCGTTAGCGGCATATTAAGGGCGGAGGGCTGGCGGGAGTAGTTTTCACCAATGGAGAAAAGTATTTTATCACTGATATTGTTTAGAATTGCCAGTACTTGGTGATAATAAAAAGCAGACTGACTTTTAACCAAAAAACAAACCAAACCCGTTGCCGTCGAGTGGACTCTGACTCGTAGCAACCCTACAGGATGGAGTAGAACTGTCCCATAGGGTTTGTCCCATAGGGTTTCCAAGGAATGCCTGGTGGATTTGAACTGCTGACCTTTTGGTTAGCAGCTGAACTCTTAACCACTACACCACCAGGGTTTCATTGTTTTTTAATTCTCTAAAGACAATGCATTTCCTTATGTGAAGATAAAGGTTAATAAAACCCTTTCTCTATTTCTAAGGAAAAATTTGACCTTGGGTTAATTTTCTAGCTCCATTCCCCTAGAAATCTGATAACGTTGAAATGTCAGCTTGTTACTAGGCAACATTTATTATAGTAAAAATTATCCCTGGTTGGTAACTTGCAGATGGACTGGGAAGAACTATAAATGAACTATATAAATCGCTAGTGGGAAGCCATAGCTTTGGGCTTCCATGAGTGTGGTGACACTTGTAACTAAGCATTTCTCTTGTGCAGACCCTAGAAGTTGTCTAAGACTGTTATAAGAAATATTGATTTCTACTTAAAACATGGGGCTTCTAAGCTATGGTAGCTCCCACACCTTCATATTATGATTCTTGTTTCCTTGCACCTGAAATGTCACTTGAGGAACAAAGAGAGTAACTTCAAGATGGCTGAGTGGCAAGGAAAAGTAACGGGGTCAGAACAGTGATGGTATATGATAGAATCTAAGGAAGACTTTGTAGTCTCAGTTCCTTAACCCCATGGATCTGATTATCCTTGAAGAAGCTTGACTGATTCTGTATGGCTTCGTTCTCCTACTTTCTCTGGGCTGCTGTACTTAAACCAGTTTTTTTTTTTTTTTAAATGTTTCTAAATTTCATAATCTCTGGTTCCCTATAGCTTGACATTCCTTTCCGACTCCCATCCAAAGATAGCTGTTGTTCTGGCCTTGTATGACCATATAGTTTAGCTTAGCTCCAAAAATGTTTATCAGGTATCTCTATGCCAGGCATTATACTGGGGACAGGATAAAAGACATATATAAAGCACACTGTCTCTTTTCAAGGCTTGAGATCCTCCAGAACATACCCAGAAAACAATGGTCCAGTATCACAAAAGTATTAGAGAGAATATAAGCAATATAGTTTAAACAAAGTCTCCTAATAATTATGTAGGATAAAAAGCTTTTGCTCATTCTATTCAGCTTTCCCAAACTACCCATGAACTCACTTGGGTGAACAAAGCAAATAAAAATGGTTCATTGAGTCAATGAGTTTATTAGAAATTTCTTTCTGATGCTAAGCATAGTGTCAGTTGGACCTAGGGATATTAAAATCATGAGCCTGTAGAAAATAATGTTTGTTTTGGGTCAATCAGTAGTTTTAGGAAATGACTGGTGCACCTATCCTGGGAAGTAAGCAAATCTAGAATGTTGATTTTTCTCTCCACTAGGAAAAATAAAATATTCTACTCTTTTATTTTGCCCAAACCAAACTATAAAGGTCATAGAGACCTTCGAAAATTTCCATCTCCCAAACTTCAAAAATTAAAAATAACATTAATGAAGGACTTATTTTCAGAACAAAGTTAAAGATTAAGAAAATAAAGAGATTCTGTTAATCTCTTTTTTAACAGTAAGATCTAAAGGAATAATTTTTAAAAATCTGAACAGTTTCTGGCTTTGATAAACAGTTTTGAATTTCCAGTGGATTCACTTTTCAATATTCCCAGTTTGACCTTAGAGCCTCCGACTGAAGTTTTGTACAACCTCAGCAAAACAGAGAACAGGAAGATTTTTGAGAGTTCTTAGAAAAAGACAGACTTAATTCCCCTTCCTAAATCAGGCCTGAAATGACATCTGACACATTCTGAATAGCATGTCAGTAAAGATGCTATCTTTAGAGAAAAACAGTGATTATCAACCCCCTCCTGATGATTAAAAATCAAATGAAACTTTCAGCAAGAAGAAGGGCTAGCCATGGTGTCCTGAGTCATTGAATTACTCTCTACACATAAGTGGCCCATCATCTTAGCAGCACGGTTGGCGTAATTCATTGTCCTAACAGACTAAGTACTGAGTCTGCACAGTTAAATATCTATAGCTAGTAGATCACTGTTCTTTATGTGTTCTGAGAATATGCAGAGGCCACTGGTTATAATATTTCATCCTAATAAATGGGAGGGAACATTTCCTAGTATGTAATTTCTAGTTCTTCCCTCTCATCTTCCGTACTTGAACTATCCTAAGGCCAACCTGTTATTTCCCCTGTTAAAGGAATATGGACCCATTGGTAAGATCTATTATCCACAATGTTCTATTTATAACACAGAAGAGAAGTCAGAAGTACTTTTATCTGCAAGCACCACCCTTCCCCTCCCCTCCCTTCTTTGTTTTTTTTTTTTTTTTTTACCTCATTTCCTGTTGACATGACTGCAACCACTGGAAACTTATTAACTTCAACCTCTGTGACACCTACAGTTGCCAGAAGACCAATCTCTGAGGGGCCCATGTGGGTTCCTTTGGCCAGTACGCACTCCCCTCTTTTAATGTCATGGCCAATAGGTCTGAAAGTCAAAGCAGAACAATAAACAGTATGAGTAGGAATAACATTTTCTCAACTCAGAGGGAAGCTCTGGTGTCAGAGGAGAACACTTAAGGAGAGAAAAAGGTCAAGAGATGAGGGAGGAGGAGGATAAAGAAATGAAGAGATTCTAAAACCTCTATGCTTTTTTTGTGTTTAAAATTAAATTGCACAATGGAAGACAAAAAAAGGATTTGTATCTACTACTACTAAATACAAATATGTTACTTATTCTTTAAAAAATGACTTTACAAATTGCTTTGGACTATATTACGGTTAAAAATACCAACTCCAAATTTTCTTTGATATAAGGCAAGAATTTGTATTAAAACGTCTAGTTGTATTAATGATAAGACGTCAGCTGGTTAGCTCTGTGGTGAAGAGAATAATGCTAATGAGGTAATTTTAGAGGTAATTTCCATTTGGACCACGTAGGTTGGTCTTGTCCTATAGGTAAACAGGTATATTCATCTTAATCTGTTGCCACAGGCATGGCAGAAGTGTAGCTTTGTTACAAGGGGATATTAAGCAAATTAGCACATATTCCATGGCAAGAATAATAATTTAAAGTACATACACTACTAATGGTAGGCTAGTAGACTCATTTTTGTATATAAAGAGTGGCACATAATTTCATTATTATTGGTAATCAGTAGAAGAAGCGCTACCAGCTAATTGTGTAAATTCCCAGTTCTGGGATTATCTGTATTAACACCAAATTCTGGATTATCTAGGGGTAGGGTTGGGAAATTCTAGATTATCTAGGGGTGGGGTTGGGTAATTCTGGATTATCCAGGTATAGGGTTAACTGTGGATTATGCACACTCATGAATTTGCCTTCTTCACATGTGCTTTTCACTATTTCATTTGCCTTTAGCATCTTCATTAAAAAGTGGGCAGGGCAGACATAGGATGTAGAATTTGGAAAATTCATTTCGCTACTTGTTAATAGCCCTGAAAGCTAACAGTTAATCAATATAGTTGTAGATTTATAACAGTCATGCTCTCCTAAGCTCACAATTATGTAGAAACGAAAGTTGGCTATACATTCTGTATGTTATGAACTTACCTGATATCTTGGCCTGGCCGAGCTTGCACCAGAATTCGTACTTCAAGTTCCTCAGTGCCCTATAATAAGAGTACGTTACATAATTTCAAACAAAAATTATGATCAGTAGAATTTATCTACTCATATGCTTTTATCATCAGATAGGCCCAGAATATATAAAAATACACAGAAACATAAAACCATTTGCTAAGCCTTTGAAAACACTATGAATTTCTACCTCAGGTTCCTGAAAAATTAGGATGTTTTGTGCCAAAAAATAAATGAAATACCTTCTCGTTCACACTTTTTTAATGTACCAATTCAAATACTGAACCTTGCTTTGTAACTAGCATTCTCAAGGAGAAAAATCATATATATATGTATGTGTGTGTATATACATATATGGTTACCCTAATGGATAAAGTGAATGTGCATGGAAATAACTTCTCTTCTGTTCCCATGAATCATGGGTTTGACACTATGCTGAGATTCCCAAATAGCTCTAGAAATTTCAGTGAAGGACTCATAGTTTGCCTGGTAGTAGATTTCTGTAAATTAATGGTGATCATCAATTGTACATTCATGGGCTGTGAATAATACTGTGACACTGGAACTGTGTCTTGCCAACTGGCAGAGTCCGTGGATACATGTGTTCTGGATTTCAGTACTCTGATGGTTTCTCTGATGCCAATAAATCTACTTAGACAATTTTAACAGCAGACAATGTGATCTGCATTCCAAGAGCTGAACTGCGTATGCCCTACAAGTTAAAAGAAAATCCCCAGATCAAAAAAAGTGGCTGTCTCTTAGCATGGCTGAATATCACTATATACCCAGCCCAACAGAATATCTATTTATTTTTAATATCAGTCTTTTAACTATAAGAGATCTTAAACCTCTTCACAAAATAATTAAGATAGACTGTTATTAAAACCACAGTTGAAACTATTCTACTTAGTAAGTGACTGATATTCTGGTTTCAATAATCACTGCTAGTTTTAGCGAGATGAAGATCTGCTTAGATCCCAAAAAATCCCAGGGTGCTTTATTTTAGGCAACAGAGGGGAAGTGACATAAATTTAATATCTCAAAGCTGTTATTTGGTAGCACAGATTTTCCCTGAATTATAGAAAATCAGAGCTGAAAGGGTCATTTGGTTCAAATGTTTGGCTTAGTGTAATATTCAAGAATTGGTCCAAGTGTTCTTTGTTAAATTCTTCTCTATTAAATTCTGAATTCATTATAACTACCTTCATCTTTTTAACAGAACAAATTTCTCAGCTAGAAAGTATGTCAGCAGTTAATATCTCTGGCTCTTCTATCTTATTTTCCTTTCTTGTTTGCATGAGAAATTTGAGTCAAACATGGTTCAAATTCTGCTATAATAAAAGGAATGTCATTAAAACAAACAAAACCCCTCTTATTACAAAAGGTTTTCAAGCCTAAGGCCATTCCTTATTTACTGAAGACCCACTCACTATAATGTAAGATCCCAACATAACCAAAAAACTGGGTTAATCCCATAAACATACAGAAAACGAGCCTGACTAATAATACTCCCATAGGAACAATGGTGTGATAGGACCTGGTAATGACGTACATCATCTGATTCCCTGATAAGTTCGGTATCTTCCACTTGTACTACTGCATCAGCACCGCAGGGGATTGGAGCACCTGTTGTAACCCGCATGACTTGTCCTGGCATTACTGTCTGAGTTGGCTGAAATACAAATATGTAAGAGAGAGTTGATTTACTTTGCTGCTACAAAGGAAAAGTCTGCAGGGGATATAAAATTTTTAGAAAGAAACCATAAAAGGACAGTCTTATAGTCTTATTCATTTTGGGGCAATGTAATAAAAGCTACCCACAAACAGGTACAATTTACATAAAACAGGCTTTAACTTGACTAAAGCTGACTTTATTATGTTCTTTAAGGTAATGACTATTAGATGTCTTTTTTGCCTCCCCGTTTTCCTTTTGCTCTTGAAAATCTTTCTAAAGCATATTAGCTCACCTTCCAACTAATAATAAAAAATCTAGCAAATATAATTGAATCATTTGGAAATTATTCCAGTATTTGTAATGATTTAGATTAAACATTATCTCCAAGATTTTCATTGTCTGAACTTTCATGTGGATGGTATAGGAGATTGGGGTAAATATGTTCTGACCACAGAGCTTGCCCTGCAAACTTCTCCCAGCATAGGGAAAAGTATATTTCTGTAAGATCCACCTGATAGATTTGATCTGGCCTCAGAAGACTCACGCGTCATGGGTCACAATTTAGGTCAGAGTTGAGGAAAGGAATGCTTCAAATTCCCCCTAAAGAAAAACCTGAGACCAAATTAATTACCCAATTGAAAAAAAAAAGATATTTTTCAAAGATGTCTGCTTCATAAATATTTAAAATATTAGGGAGTGGCTAAGGAAAAATATCCTACCTCTGAAAGTAAAATCAAAGTAAATCTTAAATTTTATTATTAGAAAAGCCTTTAAAAAGCCGCTCTTCATATTACTGCTGTAAACAATACCACCAATAGCTAATATTTATTGAAACTTCAGTCTATGCTAGGCACAGTTAAATGCATTATACATCCTAGAATATAAGCCCTATAAAGACAGGGATTTGTCTTAGTCTGTTTGCCTCTCCAGTTCATATTACCATTCTCTATTACGTGCTGTGCCCCAGAAGCCTCACCTCTATGGACTATTTCAAGCAGGTTCACATCACTCTGGCTTCTGGCTAGATTCAGCCAATGGGAAAGGTCAATAGTGGGACTAGAAGGTAGGAGAAAAAAGTAGGGGGAGGGGTTTGTTCCCCTTGCTTTTTCCCTGTTGGGGTGCAGTTTGGCAGTGGTGGCATCACCTCTACTACTGAGGGCACAACTCCTGTTGGGTGGCCCTCTTTCATGCCCATAAATCTTCCCATGTTCAGGTACCATTCTCTCCCTTGATCCCTTCAGACCTACAGGTGGTAATGGAGTCTCACTGTTGTTAGCACCTGGGTGCACATTCCTTTGCTGGCTTCCTTAACTCTCTCTGTAACTGCATTAATATCTCTTTAATCACCCCTTCCTCAGGCATATTGCTATAGCATCCTGAAGCCTAGAAAAGTGTCTGAGACAAAGTAGGCACTAAATAAATATTTCCAGAATGAATGAATGTGCATTATCTCATTGAATTATCACAACAACTACATGAAGTAGAGGGTTCTATTATCACCATTTTATATTTTTGAAACCTAAACCTTAAAGAGATTAACTAACTTGCCCAAGATTAACTACTATTAAGTGGGAGCACTGGGACTTAAACTCAGGTATGTCTAACTCCTTAATACATCAGCCATTTATGCAAATAATTTTATAATGACATTTCTTACAGAAGAGTGATACTGAGTCAACTGATTCTCCGTATGTAATCCTTTTCGGTTTACAACTCCAGTGTTGTCCCTGTTTTTCTCCCCCGGTCACTGGAGAAGGAGATTCTTGGGATCAGATCTGGCATTGAGTCACATACCTTAAATCTCCTTATCCTGTTATTTGAACAAAAGACATTCCAGGCTTATTCAGAATTGTTACACTGTAATGTAATTTTTCACCAAGATAATGCACTAGGATTTAAAATGAAGAGTTTAGGCCTCAATGCATTTAAAATTTATTTTTTACTTTCAATCCCAGATATCTCTTATTGTCTGGGACATCTCTTAATCCACTATACATGACCATTTTGCAGTGCACTGATTTTTGATGAAATGCATTAAAGTTTTGATATGATATGTATATTTTTTAGTACAGGTGTTAATGTCAAAACTATCTCTTGAGCCTGTGGAACAATGGCATTTAATACAGACCCACAGAGGTCCTTCTTTTGCTCAAAGTGCCTTGTTGGCAATGGTGAAAAGTGAATGGAGGGCGGTTGATTCTCAGGCTGTGATGTGTTAACCTAAAGCCCTTCCTCCATTTAGTTGGGTTCAGTGTATTATATTCTTTAAATTTACCTTTAAGTTTTACTATGGTTTGACCTGCAATGTTCTCTATTTCTTGGCTTAAAACATCTCTTAAGCTGTGTTTTTGTGTGGTTATTAAATAAAAAAACTTGGCTCTTCTCCAAGATCAACAATTCTAAGTGGTAGGAGAATGATTCTTACCAGCTCCCACATATTAAACTCAATGTTAAAGATATGATTGAATGTATAAAGATATTTATATATACACTTAGAGTGGACACATAAACTATAATTGAATTAAATCAACTGAAAACCATACATTCTGGCAATACATGAAGTACTTCCTTTAGATTAATAGTTATTCTTTCCTTTTTATTTTTATTGCTATTCCTTATATGCTTTACACAGAGTGAAACAGTTCCAATCTTGAGCGAGCTGGATTTTTTGAGCTTTGTTCAATGACAGAACTTTATAATTACGTAAAATTTCCTAAGGAAGTGTCCAGTGTTAATTAATGTGACTAAACTATAAGGGGTTTAAGGTCAAGTATTTTAGTACACCAATAAACCATTTTGTAAATCACCTGAGTGTGTGTGGTATCACCCCAATGCTCAAGTGTATGCACTTTCAGTAAGTGAACAATCTGACTCTTGTAAGATTTTGGAGATTGCTGTAAAGTCTGTGTGATATATCAGTTATAGATAAAGGACACTGCAGGTAATTTGAAGAAAAGTACCCCTTTTCTTGTTTAGTTTTGATCTTTTTTCTCATTAAACTTTCATAGGAATTTTATAAGAAGTTAGCAACTTTTAAGTTTCACAACTCTTCCTGTGCTCCTAGCTCTCTAGTAGAGTTGGAGGACTTAACTAACAGTAAATAAGGTTTAAGAAGTCCTCAAGGCCCTTAAGAATCTGCTACTTAGTGCTAATATACTAATTCATGGCTACCACAAACTATTTGTAGTTCCCTAAGTATTCCATGGAAACCCTGGTGGCCTAGTAGTTAAGAGCTACGGCTGCTAACCAAAAGATCAGCAGTTCAAATCCACCAGATGCTCCTTGGAAACTGTATGGGGCAGTTCTACTCTGTCCTATAGGGTTGCTATGAGTTAGAATCAACTCGACGGCAGTGGATTTTTTTAAGTACTCCATGGAGCCCTGGTGGTGCAGTGGTTAAGAACTTGGTTCCTAACCAAATGGTTGGCAGATGGAATTCACCAGCTGCTCCTTGGCAGTTCTACTCTGTCCTATAGGGTTGCCATGAGTTAGAATCGATTCAAAAACAACGGGTTGTTAAGTACTCCATGTAATTATTAAAGACACCTCTGGGTCTTGGCTTACATTCTTATCTCTGTCTGGAATATTTCTTTCCCATTTCTGCTTTTGCAAAATTGTCTTAGGCCCAGCTCTAATCTCATCTCCCTAATCACCCCAGGCTGAAATACTTAACCTCCTTTTCGTGCTTCATAGCACTTGACTGACACCATTAGTTGAACACCTAATATACTGTATTATATTGTTTATACTCTGTCTCCTCCAGTACATGTAAATTCCTTAAGAACAGTAATCATATCTTAATCTACTTTATATCCCTAGAACCTAGTAGAGTCCCTGGTACACACAGTAGGAGTGCTCAACAAATGTTAGTTAGATTCAGGTGAAGATCAGACAAGTACTCCTTGAATAACTGTTATTGTGTGGCTTCCATGGAGCACAGTTCTACTCTGACACACAGAGTTGCCATGACTTGGAATTGACCTGACGGCAGCTGTTTTTTTTTCTTTTTTTCCCCCATGGTAATGGCTGGATGAATATTACTCCTGATGATAAATGAATTCAAAAGGGTTTTCTTGAGGTATGATATAGCTTTCAGACCAATATTACTGGCAAGGCAATGCCTATCTAATGAGTTTTAGAGAGGTTAAACAATCTGTCCTTCTAAATTTCCTTGTTTGCAAGATAAATTGGGGAAAAGTCTGAGAAGACCATCTAGAAATTGTAGTTCTATTCATAACTTCAATGTTTATGCAAAAAGAAAGAAAGAACTACCCAACTGTGGTGCTGGCATATGCTTGTGGGGCATGTCTGTGAGACAGACCAGCAACATCATGACATGAATCAATAGATACAGATTCTTTAAGAAATGACAATTTAGTCTTTTCTCATGGGAACCATTCTTTAATCTCTTTGATAATCTTCTGTCCAATCCCTTTCTGAATTTTCTACTAACTTTTAGGAGAAGTTCGGAATTAAGATGGTGAAAGTCCATGAGGCTGAAATCTGATGTTAAATCTAAAGGACGTATGAATCTCACCTGTTCACCGGCTTGGGATTCCCCAATGATGAAACGATCTCCTGGGCCATCAGCAGCTGTGAGATGGAACAGAACCAAGAACAAACATCAGTATGGGCCAATAGCAAGGAATAAGAACTCAGTACTGGAATTCTAAAATTTGACTCAAATACTTTTCTGGTCTTTTACATTACACGATGGTTTTGTTACTACCAGTTTGACTTTGGTATCCACAACTCATAACTACCAACCGAAGTGGTCTTAATTGGCCCTCTCCTGGTGTCACTGGCAATGGTCTTCCTGTCACTTCAAAATTTTCACATTTGTGCATTTCTAACAGGAAGTTTGTTTAGCTTAGCCTTCTAAATAAATACTACCTTATCCAAGTGCATATATATGAGATGTATATGTGGACATACATACAGATATATCACTATATATAGATAATATTTCTCAATTTTTCTATAAAAATTTTAACTGTTTCATACTTTTTAATTTATCACCCAGTTTGATCTTCATAATTACCTAGTGATATAGGAAGAACAGTTAGTCCTTTCTTCATCTGACAGTTGAAGGAAATGAGTTACAGAATGTAGGAACTCGGGGAGAAAAGGTTACGTGCCTTGAACAAGTCCTGGTTGTGGTAGAGCTAGGGCTAAAATCCAGTATCTTAATTCAGAGCACCATTTTTTTTTTTTTTTTTTTAAATAATGGATCACAATACTATTTCTGAGTCAGAAGACATAGGCAGTACTGCATCACATTTTCTACTGGCTAATTACTTATTTTTAAATCAGAAGAAACACATTCAGAATTGGGATGGAAAAGCTTTTTATCCAATCTTCTCTTTTTTTTTTTTAATATACAACACAGAACTAGCTAGTCCCTGGGTGGTGCAAACAGTTAATACTCTTGGCTGCTAAACCAAAGTTTGGAGGTTCGAGTCCACTCAAAAATGCATTGGAAGAAAGGTCTGACAATCTAGCTCTGAAAAAATTAGCCATTAAAAACCCTATGGAACACAATTCTATTCTGACACACACGGCGTCACCATGAGTCGGAACTGACTTCATGGCAGCTGTTTTTTTTTCTCACAGTAATGGCTGGATGAAAAAATATTCCTGGTGACAAATGAATTCAAAAGTTTTCTTTAGGTATGATATGGCTTTCAGACCAATACTACTGGCAAGGGCAATGTCTACCTAATGAGTTTTAGGATCATGACCATTACCTTTCTATCATCTGCCTACAGCAAGAACTTCGGCATATAACACTATCAATATGAGCGTTTTAATTATATTTGCTATTATACTGATAATAAAAATACTCTTCCCTCTTTTAAAAAGAACACATGAAATTCATGATTTCTTTATGTAACTACAAAGTGGTAGTTTTTCTAAAGGCTTGTCTACAATACTGTTTACGAAACTTTTTTACACATATGACCTTTGGTTAATCTGATATGGAGAGGACAAGGTATTAACAGTAGATCTCTTCTATGCAGTAAATGTTGTATTTTGTGCTTTATATACATGATTTCAGTTAAACTCATGGCTTTCTTGTGTTTTTTAGAATCCTATAGTATAATCAGTGTCCATTTGTAAAAACTAGAATAGTTTTCCTCCAATGCTATTTTAATATGCCCCTTTTAGGGGCTCTTTTTAAAAAATTTTAAAAAATGAACAATTTAAAACGTACCACAGAAGTTATTGCTTTAACAATGATCACCATTTTACCAATCTTGTTTCATCTATTCTCCTATTTTTGCAGTATTTTAGAGCAAATCATGATTTTCTTACTATAGAAAATTAAAATATCAGTTATTTTTCAGAGTTCCATAATAATGATCTCAAATGTGAATAAACTTATTTTTAATTATTTTCTGGTAGGGGAATAATTATCAGCTTGTCACCTCCCATATGTAACCTACACATCTTCTCCTTTTAATTCTGGCATAAAGGGAAATTAGCATGGTTTTAGATGTAAAACAAACTTGAATCTGAATCCTGGTCCTGCCTATGATCAGCTTTATGACTTTGAGCAACTTACTAAATCTCTCTAAGCTTCAGTTTTCTTGTTGATAAAAATGAGGACAAATGATACTTTTAAAATAATATCTTTTAAAGCTGTTCATTCCTTTCATTCATTCACTAAGTTTCCACTGAGTGTCTCTTATGCTCCAAGTGTCATATGAGGTGCTGGGGACAGAGTAGAGAGTAATACCAGTCATGGTTTCTCACTAATGCAGTGCCAGCCTGTTGGAATGTTTTTCAAACTCTGGATCACAAATTGAGGTGGGTTGTAAAATCAATTTATAAACAATTAAAAGTAAAGTTTATTATGGTAAAATATATGTAACAAAAAAACTTTGCCATTTTAACCATTTTTAATTGTACAATTCAGTGACAGTAATTACATTCACCATGTTGTGCAACCATCACCACTTTATCTATTTCCAAGTTTTTCATCACCTCAAACAAAACCACATACCCCTTACACAATAACTCTCCCCCAGGTGCTGGTAACCACTAAGAAACTTTTGCCTCTATGCATTTGCCTATGCTAGGTATTTCATATAAGTGGGACCATACCACATTTGTCCTTTTATGTTTGACTTACTTAACTTAGAATAATTATAAACAGGTTTTTTTTTTAATGAAAAGGAACACAAAATATGTTTCAACATACATGGCAAAAGAAGTATTATTTCATGAAACCTGTTTTTGTTTATATATGTGTGTGGCATATGTATATGTTTGTATATATGTATGTGATGTGATTTATATATGATATATATGCAACATATATATGATATATATGTGATCTATCACACTGGCTTGTGATGAGAGATATTAATCAAATAATCACACTAATGAATATATAAATACAAATCAAGAAAACCAAGAAAGGAACATGGTTTTATGAGAGCACACATTTAAAAGCTAAAACGGAGGGTCAGGGAAAGCTTCTCTGGTGAAAAGATTCCTGATCTGAATATGAAGGATGAAGATGAGCTGAGTAGATAAAAGATGTGTGTGTGTGTGTGTGTGTGTGTGTGTGTGTGTGTGTGTGTGTGTGTGTAAGAAAGAGAGAGAGAGAATATAGATTAGCGGTGGGGGGAGGAACGCTGTATATAAAGACAACGGTATATGCAAAGGCCTCTAGCCCATGTCTTCCTTGTATCGTGTACTCTAGCCATTCTTAATTTTTCGTACTATAGTTCTCTGAGAGTACCAAGATGACTCATATCTCAGCTCTATTACATACGCTACATCCACTGCTTGGAGTATCCCTCCCTTATCCCTGCCCTCTAATTACAGACTTCTTAGCTTTTAAGACTCAGCTTAAGTGTCACCTTCTCTAGAAAGTCATATCTGCCTCCCTTCTCCTCAAGAGTCACATATTTCCTCTTTTGTTTCCCCACGGTACCCTGAAATAACTCTAACGATAGCTTCTTAATGTATTTGGAGTGATTTGCTTATTTGTCTCATGGGAATCCTTAACATTGGCCACATAATAAGTGTTCAATAAATGTTCAATACATGAAGTGTTCAAAATGTTCAATGAATGAATGAGTGTGGATCCTAGGACTCTTTACAAAGACGCAGACATGAATGAACAAATAAATAATTTTTCCCTCCTGTTTTCCAACACAAAATGCTGTGTTTTAAATGCCTTACATTTTCTGCTGATCCATGTATATCTTTTTTTCAAAACGTGAGTCAACATTTTTAGAATGTTTAGAAAGACTTCTCTGACTAATTCTATATAACTTAGATTATATCATTATTTTGTCTAGCATAATGCCTCACTCATAGTTGATGCCCAATAAATATCTGTTAAAAGAATAAAGAAATAAGTTTGGCATTTCCATAATACTTTGGTGGGAAGTTTGCAAACTGACTTGTACTTACTGGTATTGTGCTTTGTTTAAGTTTTCTTAAATCATTTTATAAATGTGTATATTTTATCTCTTCAGCGAGATTATAAGCTCCTTAAAGGTTGGCACCACTTCCTTCATTTCTCTTTTTGAAACACTCTGCTCTTCACTGTCTACCCTTTGAACTGTTTGCCTACACATGCACATGTAGACATACTCAAAATGTTTATATCAATGCTCTGCAAAAGGCTCTAAATAAATGTCACTGAATAATGAGGGGCTGGAGATCATCTGAGGATCTTGTTAAAATACAGATTCTGATTCAGTAGGTCTGGAATACGGAGATTTTACATTTCCAACAAGCTAATACTGCTGGTTCATGGACTACCCTTTTTTTTTTTTTTTTTTTATTGCTGTGCTTTAAGTGAAAATTTACAATTCAAGTTAGTCTCTCATATAAAAATTAATACATACTTTGTTTTGTGACTCTACTTGCTCTCCCTGTATTGTGACAGCACACACTTCCTTTCCACCGCGATTTCCCGTGTCCATTCAACCAGCTCCTGACCCTCTCTGCCTTCTCATCTTGCCTCTGGATGAGAGCTGCTCATTTAATCTCATGTATCTACTTGACCTAAGAAGCACATTCTTCACAAGTATCATTTTATGTCCCACAGTCCAGTCTAATCTTTGTCTGAAGAGTTGGCCTCGGGAATGGTTTTAGTTTTGGGCTAACAGAGAGCCCGGGGGCCATGTCTTTCAGGGTTCCTCCAGTCTCAATCAAACACATTAAGTCTGGTCTTTCTACTAGAATTTGAGTTCTGCACCCCACTTTTCTCCTGCTCCATCAGGGTGGACTATCCTTTTTAGGAGCAAAACACTGTAAGATTGAACTGAATACAGACAAATTCAGACTAAAAGAAAACTTAAGGAATAAAAAATTAGTGAACTACCACAGGAGACCTGATTTTACATCTTTAACAACAAGGCTCACTATTTATTATAAAGACAGCGAAATAACTGTCAATCTGGCTAACTTGCTGATATCTATTTTAAAATATCTATTAAAGGTATACAGGAAAAAAAAAAAGTTGCCATTTTCAAGATGAATTCTATCAGCTTGAGTGGGAAGGGGAGGGAATGGAGGGAATGTCATATGAACCTATATTTTGAAAAGAATTAAACTAACTAAGCCACAGTATGCCATTAGAAAAGATGGGGAGAGTCCAAGGATTTTTGTCAAGGCTTAGAATCTCCTTCTTCACCTCCATTAATTTTGACATATCTACTAATCAACTTTCTTTTCTGCTTTATAACTGCAGAATTTAATTTGAAGCAAGTGATAAAAGCAGTATAACCCAAGCTCTAACAGTATTATAACTGTAGAATTCACAATGCTAAATGTTAGACTCTGAAGCTGCTCCTAGTTCCTTCCTCTTTTAATGCCCAGAAAACACTTTCAGTCTTGTCCACCTCTTTATTTGAAGATTCCTGGTTATATCATTTGATATAAAATTGTTAAAATTAGATAACCATTAATTGTGGTAATATCTTCTCATTTCTTATAAAAATGGATGTTTAATAAAAAATGCTCATCCTCAAACTATCTGCCATAGAACTATGCTTCATTTTCATTTTCTAGCCATATGTGACTTCTCATTAAATCTCTTGAAACACTTTAAAGCTATTAATTTTTTTCAATAATAAAGAATCTCATCATTTCCATGTTAGAGCTGAATAAACTGAGGTAGATTAAGAATTTGTCTGATTATGGAGCTATACTGCCAAGATGGATGATAGGCACAGGGTCATAGTATTTATGTATATACTAAGATTTGATTATAGGAAGGGGTGGGGTAGGGTCGGGGCAATGGAAGGGGACAGGGCTGGAATGCAGATTAATACTTGCTGCAATTATGCTCAGGGACTAAACCAGGTGAGTCATTTGGGATTTTAAATCTGCAGTAGCTTCTCGTGGAAAGCAAGAAGCTGGTAGTAGGATAGATGAGTTTAAAAAAAAAGAAACCAAACCCACTGACGTTGAGTCGATTCTGACTCACAGCGACCCTACAGGACAGAGTAGAACTGCCCCACAAAGTTTCCAAGGAACAGCTAGCTGCTGGTAGATTCGAACTGCCTACCTTTTGGTTAGCAGCCAAGCTCTTAATCACTGTGCCATCAGGGCTCTGGACAGATGAGTGAGAAGGCATTTTATATTCTCTACCATCATCTTCAACGGGAAAATGCTCACTTATTTTCAGGATTGGGAAAGGAAATACAACTTTTCCTTAAATAGAGTACTTTAAGGTTTTTGAAATTAACTAAAATTATTCCAAATTTTCTGTCTGCTCACAGGAATAATACTCCCACATCATAAGGCCTAGTCAGATGAGTTGGAGAACCAGCTGTGGCCAAAGAGGATTTACATGGACAAACAAGAAGCCCTGGAATATTACTTCTGTGAAAGAAAAAGAACTAGCTCTAAAGCAAAAAAGCTGTTGACTGTCTCTACTGAATTTTAGTATTCACCTTAACCTCCTGGGAGGAAGCACAACAAAATGTTAATAGTGGTAAGGCAGTGAGATAATGGGTAATTTAAAAATGTTCTTTTTGATTTTTTGGGTTTTCCATAAGCATGTATTTCAATGCAGGATGTAAAAAAGGAAAAAAAAATTAAATTTGCTTTACACAAATGCAGAATTGTATATTACACACACACACACAAAAAAAACCCAAACCCATTGCCGCCGAGTCAATTCCGACTCATATAACTTACTTCCCAAATTCCTGGTTTGTTCAAAATACTCCCTTTTTCCAAATGATTCCAAAATGAGTTCTTGGGACTCTGAGATATTTTTGCCTTTATTTACATGTAAGAGACTATAAGACAATGGAAGCCCACATCTCTATGGGTGGATGTGAAGGGATAAAGAAGATGATGAGCTTATTCAGTGTGAAGAGAGAAATAAATCTTCAAAAACATAAAAAATAAAAATAGTGTATTAATTCTAATTGGTAATATGCAACTTTCATTTTCTTTCCTGTTTTTATTTCTCAAATTCACTCCTTCCTGAATGCAGTTTTAGGTTTATTAGGTTACAGGTCTTCCTGTTAGCTCACCACTTGATTCCTGCTTTCTTTTTTTTTGAACACATATTCCTTCTTATTCTATTTTTTTAAAATTCCTACATATGTCCTGTTTCCTTAGTGACTTTATTACTGTCTTCATTTTTCAACCCACATACCTTAAAGCAAGTGGTCCTCCAACTGGTGTGGAGTTTTATCCCACATGTTTCTGAAGGATACTGGCTAATGCTTAGTGATCCAGAGCAAGTTAGCAATCTCTTTACACCTAGAGGGTTAGCAATGCTCACAGGTGCCACTGGTTATTACTGGAAGGCCTAAGGCAAAGGCAGAGGAGAAGAAAAAAAGGGAGAATAAAGGGAATGGGGAGAAAGGAATGGGAGTCAAGGAAGAGAGGGGTGGAGAGAAGGAGGTACACGTGGTAGAGAGCCACAACAATCGCCTTAAGGATACTCTTTACCAAAACACTGTTTGGGAGTGATATTACAACACAGAAGAGACTAATGAATGCATTTATCGCAAAGAAAGTCATCTTAATTACTGAATATGGTAAAAAGGCCCTTTAGGATTCATAAGAGTTTGTCTGCCTGAATTACAGACAAGGGTGAAAAGATGTAACTGAAAAATTCAGCATGGTTATAAGACTAAACTGCTACTTTTAGCCCATGCCTCTTTGTCCACTGATGAGTTTTGTTGCCTCAATTATGATGTCAATATATAGAGACACACCAGCCACTCCTGTTTTTCTGAGACTTAACCATATCGACAATGCCTATCTGCTGTATATCTTACAGAACTGGGAGCACTTCACAAGAAAGAAATAGCTGCATGGTAGATAATCTCTTAAACTTTTTATACGATGAGATGCCGTTTTAGACATTTTTGTGTGAAATAACTAAGAACAACACATTCTAAAACAAAAGAATAAGACACTGAATGGTAATTTCACATAAAAAATTTCTTTGATAGATTCAACAGCAGCAGAAAGGTTCTATTATGGCTCATGTGAACTAATCATCTTTTTTGGCAACAAGAAAGGCTCAGAGCAATAGCTTCTTTTTATCGAGCTGCTGCTACCTCATGCAAAATCACAGAACAACATTCTGTCTGAGAGTAATTCTGCCTTAAATAATTTATTTTCTCCCCCTCTCCTGGTTTATATTATCAAGAATGTAAAAAGTAGATTTCCTTGTCACTTTGGTATTGTATCTACTGTCGTTGTTTCACTCTGGAAGTAAGATTTCTTTGTCATTTGACAGTAATCCCATATGACTACAAATTGTAAGATCAAAACAGAATTTACTTTTTAGTTAAAAGTAAATAATAGAACAAATAAGAATAGGAAATAAGAGCCAATGAGGCTATTAGAAGAATAAAATAATTTTCTTTCTGGACAATATTCATTATAATAAATACTGCATAAGGAATAAATTTGGAAAAAAAAAAACAAAAACAAAACCATGGGAGACATTGGAGATTTATTATTTATACTTTGGCCTTCCCAATTTCAGAAGTACTCTAATCTAGTGAGATCATGTTATTAGCTGAATGAGGTTCATCTAAGACAGTCTTCCTAAGAATATACTAGTGGGAATTAAAATAAAAGGTAATTCTCTGCACCGTTTAATTTATACAGGATATGAGAATAATAACTCAGATAAATGTTATCCTTTTTCAGAGATGGTCTAAGTGAATGTGTTAATAATAATAAATAATAGTAATAATAGTTACTATTATTAAACATTAAAAAAACCATTATTAAGTGCTATTTTGTGTGTTTGTGTGCCAGGTACTTCACTAAGGCTTTCTAGGGCCTTATTTAATCCTCACAACAACCTGCTGGGTAAGTACTATTAGAGTTATCACCATTTTACAGATGAGGAAACTCAGGCTCAAAAAGTTTAAGCTTAAAGTTACATAGATCAAACTAGTAGTGGAATCCAGACCACTTGGACTTTGCTCAAAGTCCCTAATTTTAACCATCTGTAAACTGCCTGCAACATAAAAAGATACTGCTAAGAGATGGTGATGGAACATAGAAGAGATTAAGGAATGCATTTAATTACAAAAAAGCAAAAATTATTTTAATAGCTAAATGTAGTTTAAAAAACAAACAAAAAACAACCAGTAAAAGATTCCATAACTGACCATTAAAGAGGAATTGATATGCTTTAACAGGTTTGATAAAATGAGAAATATTCTCGGACATTTCTTCAACTATTATCAGACTTGAATTAATAACCAGTAACAGTGTCTAAGCGTCTAGACTGAACTTTAGGCAGGCAAATGCTACTTAGTATTTGCTATTATGCTTTTTACAATCTCAGGCAACTCTGAGAGCTTGAGTTGCCAGTACCATCCGGAACTCCAGAACTTTGAAACACGGCATCTTCCAGGGAATTAGAGGTTTCCCTCATGCTTTCTTTCATGAAGCCCTATACTGATGTTTCAGTTTAAAGCAGGAGAACAGATTATCCCACTTACTATCCCTGTTTTGGGAACCTACTCTTATCTTCTTGGATCATATAAGTATTTTCAATTAGAAAACATTTGGAAAACTTCCTGACCAAGACTGTCTGCTGCCTGGCATGTGTAGGGGCAGAGGGAATAAATTATAGTACAGTGTCTTTATTCAATTCCTTCATATTTATTTGTAAGCAAGAATTTTCATGTAATCTGGTATTCTCACTAAAAAGTTTTAATCAAGGTTGTGTCAGGAAATATAGACTAACATGGTTATCTGTGAAGGAAGTTGTTCTTACAACCACTGGGGAAACAGATGCAACAGCTGCTGGGTGCCTGAGCTGAGCCAAAAGTCTGAAAAAAATAGAGCGTGAGTCTCATGATACTCAAGAAAATAAAATATTTACCTCGGACAGCATAGCCATCTTTTACTGATGCTGGGAAGGGGGGTAGGTTGTCTTTTGCATATACATCTTGAGCAAGGACTCGGCCCATTCCATCTGAGAGAAGAGAAAAGAAAAGGAATATGTGAACATTGAGAGCAATGGGGTGAGCAGGTAGGCATAAACAAGATGGGCACGTGTGCTTGTTTGACAGTTTGTAACTGGGCTCAGTTAGACCTCCTGATTTCTATCCCAATAGGAAACAGAAGGAAGAGATGCAGCCTGGTGCCCGAAATAAAAAATTAGATTCAGTCAATTCTTAGTACTGCTTGCAGAGATTATCTGAACATGACTACTATATAGTCATCAAAGATGTAGTTATGTATTTTTAGGTATTGATTATAAACTGTTGATGTGTCATTAATTCTTTAACCAAAATATGATTTTCTTTAAAAGGAAAGTCAATTCTTTTCATACCCATTGACCTGGTAATTTCACTTCCAGAAATCAACCCTAAGAAAATGGATAGATATTTATGCATATGTTTATTTCAAAGTTGCTTATATGAGTGAAAAAGAGAAAAACAAAACAAAAACCCAAAAGATCAATAAAAACAAGATACATGAAAATATAAAGCATTCACCACATTGTGCAACCATCACCCTATCTATTTCCAAAAATCTTCCATCATCCCAAACAGAAACTCAGTACTCCTTAAGCAATAAATCCTCACTTCCCTCTCTCCCCAACCCCTGGTAACCACTAATAAACCTTGGTCTTTATGCATTTGCCTAGTCTAGATATTTTGTATACGTAGGATCATGCAATATTTGTCTTTGTGTCTGTCTTATTCTACCTAGCATAATGTTTAAATGGTTCATATATGTTGTAGCATGTATTTAAACTTCACTTTTCATTATGGCTAAATAATATCCCATTGTATTTGATATACTACAACTTGTTTGTCGATTCATCTGCTGATGGACACTTGGGTTGTTCCCACCTTTTGGTTATTGTGAATAATGCTGCAGTGAATATTGGTGTACAAGTATCTGTTTGCCTGCTTTCAAGTCTTCTGGGTATATACCTTGGAGTGGAACAGCTGGGTCATATGGTAACTCTAGTGAATTGCAAAACTGTTTTCCACAATGGCTGCACAAGTCTACATTCCCACCAGCAACTCCAATTTCTCCACATACTTGCTAATACTGGTTATTTTCCATTTTTCTGATAACAGTCATCCTAGTGGGTGTGCAGAGGTATCTGATTTGCATTATCCTAATGACCAATGGCATTGAGCATCTTTTCATGTGCTTATTGGCCATTTGTATATGTTCTTTGGAGAAATGTCTATTCAAGTCTTCTGCACGTTTTTACATTGTGTTGTTTGTCTTTCTGTTGTTGAGTTGTAGGAGTTCTTTATATATTCTGCAAATTAAATTCTTATCAAATATATGATTTGTCAGTATTTTCTCCCATTCTGTAGCTTGTCCTTTCACTTTCTTGACAAAGCTCTTTGATGCACAAAAGTTTTTAATTTTGATGAAGTCCTATTTTTTTTTCTTTTGTTGCTTGTATTTTTGGTGTGTCGTATCTAAGGATCCATTGTAAACAGCAAGGTCCTGAAGCTTTACCCCTACGTTTTCTTCTAAGAGTTTTATGGTTTTAGTTTTTATATTTAGGCTGTTGACCCGTTTGAGTTAATTTTCATATGTGGTATGAAGTTTGGGTCCAACTTCTTTCTTCACGTGTGGAGATACAGTTGTCCCTGTACCATTTGTTGAAGAGACTATTCTTTCCCCAACTGAATGGACTTGGCAGGGTTTCTTTTTGACTTGATAAAAATGTCCTAAAATTGACTGTGCTGATGGTTGAATGTATCTGTGAACATGCTAAACACCCTTGTACACTTTAAATGGGTGAATTGTATGGTATGTGAAATGTATCTCAACAAAGCTGTTATTTTTTTAAGGCAAGGACAAGAAATATTTTTTTTTAAAGGAGAATATTTCATCTCAACATATAACTATATTTAGATACATATTCAGAAGAATCAAGAGAAGTCTTATCTGTAGCACATATATACCATCTTGTCTTTACAGACCTTTTTCAAACATCATGGAAAGAATGATAAAACATTTCATTTGGAAAAAAAGAAGAGCTCCATACTTAGTTAAGGTTTTTAATATAAATTTAACAACATATATAACTAGTTCAGGTTATTAATATAAATTTAGAAACATATATAAATGGCTAGCTTTTTATTTTCAACTCATGCTGTCACAAATACAAGGGTTGTTATCTTTGAGATAATTTAGATCCCTACTAGATAGGCTCTGCCATTGACGCTGGTATCAAGGTAACTTAATAGCAGAGTTTAAGTCTCTTCAAAGAGAAAAACAAGTTTTGGTCAAAAGCCAAAGTTGAGGGAGAAGATATAATGGAGAGAAATATTCAATTACTTAGAAAACAGTTAAGTACTCCCAGACAGCAGCAGATACAAAAGAAGTGAAGGAATAAATGTCAGTTGTACCTCTCTGGTACACAAGCTACTATATCCACATCTCTTAAAAGGGTTTAGGACTAAACAATGGGTGTCTGACCAGATGACCCATTTGGGAACTTAAAAGCTATGTTAATATTGTTGCAAATTACTTCTCCACATGGAACAGTCTCTCTCTCTCTCTCTCTCTCTCTCTTTCTCTCTTTCTCTCTCGCATACACACACACACACACACACACACACACACAATGATACAGCTGTATAGATATACTTACACAGATGCTAAACCATTCCTTCCCTTTGTCCATATGTGGAGCGCAAGTATTAGTATTGAATAAACTTTGAGTATACAGTTTTAAAAAAGGAGCCTCAGTCTCTAAACGTAAATGAGAACCAGGCAGAAATGATTTCTCACCTGGATATTACGACCATTTTAAGTGTAGCATTTGGTACAAAACAATAGCGAGCTGCCAAAGCTGTGGGAACCAAAGGGCTTACTGAAAGATGTAATTTCAGGAAAACATGAGCAAAAATCCCAGCTGCTTCATTTCAATGACAGCCCCATTTATAATAAGCAAAAGACAGTTTCCTCAATATATAATTAATATGACTAATATGCTTGCTTAGGAACATTTGGTGGTAGGAGTTTGCAGCTCTTTACAGATTGCAGTGAGCATTTCATTTTGCTGAAAGTTAGGCTGTGTGCCAGGGAGCTATGGTCCTGCTTTTAGAGTATGAGGAAATACTGCCCATTCTGTTTTACTTCCACCCACACACTATATTTCAAAAGCTCTGTAAAATAAAGAGTATTTTCAATTTTGATGAAGATCATAAAATGAACACACATATTTCTGGGCTGTGCAGAATGTCAGAAATCTCAAAGGCATGACTATGCATCACTGGGGATCCTGGACCATATATACAATTAAGAGATCTTCAAGAGGGGGATAAGAAGGAAGGAATGGAAAGGACTGGCTGATGATTTACACTGTTTTGTGTGGTATGCTTACTTGTGCTGCAAGAAGACCAGAGGGAGAAGTGGTAGGTCAAAATGGTTTTTATGTTGTCAGCAGGACACACATATAATATACAGGTTCCCACGTGATAATAGTTATTAATGAATTCCCTTCAAAGCTTTATATATGTCATCCCATTGCCTTCTTGCCTGAATGGTTTCTGCTAAGTAGTCTGAGCTTAGTCTTACTGACTCTCCTCTGTAGATGATTTTTCGTTTATCCCTAGCGGCTCTTAAAATTCTCTCTTTATCTTTGGTTTTGGCAAGTTTGATTATAATATGTCTGGTGACTTTCTTTTGGGATCTACCTTGTGTGGTGTTTGATGAGCATCCTGGGTATCTTCTCATCTTTTCCGATATCAGGGAAGTTTTCTGCCAACAAATCTTCAACAACTTTCTCTGTATCTTCTTTTATCCCCCTGATCAGGTACTCCAATCACTCGTAGGTTATTCCTCTTGATAGAGTCCCACATAATTCTTAGGGTTTCTTCATTTTTTACAATTCTTTTATCTGATTTTTCCTCAAATAGGTTGGTGTCAAGTGCTTTATCTTCAACCTCACTAACATTGACTTCCATTGCTTCAATTCTGCTCCTATGACTTTCTATTGAGTTGTCTAATTCTGAAATTTTATTGTTAATCTTCTGGATTTCTGTTTGCTGTCTCTCTTGCAGCCTATTAAATATGTCATTGTGCTCTTCTCTAATCTTCTTAAGTTCCTCTATTGCTTTATTTGTGTGTTCCTTGGCTTGTTCTGCATTTTGCCAGATCTCTGGGAGAGTTCTGTATATTAATCTTTTGTATTCTACCTCTGGTAATTCCAAGAAGTTCTCTACCTCTGGAAAATTTCTTGATTCTTTGTTTTGGGAGCTTACTGAAGCCATCATGGTCTGCCTCTTTATGTGATTTGATATGACTGTTGTCTCTGAGCCATCAATAAGTTATTATATTTAACTATTTTATGTTTGCTTACTGTGTCTAGCTTCTTGTTTTGTTTTGATATGTCCAAATAGGCTGCTCGTGTGAGCTAGTTTGATTATTGGTGCCTTTTAAGCTCTAATGTCCTATCACCAGGTGGTTTGATCTGTTACTAGGTACGTGAGCCCAGAAGTCCGTTTACTTCTCTTGTATGGATTCAGCTCAGGTGTCCAGACAGTCATTCACCAAGTGTGTGGTGCAGGCTCTTACCTACAGTCCTAGATGGACAGGGGTGATTGGAGTAGACACAGGTATTTGGCTGCAGTAGGGGGTCACACACTGAGCAAGGCAGGGGGCTGATGGCTGTGCCTGAGTGTCTGAGAGGAAAGTGTGTCCCTGTTCCCTAGAGTGCACAGGTAGGTGGGTTTTGCAGCCAGACTATGGGCACCCAATGCTGTTGGCTGTAAGGACTGTGAGGCACCACTTATTCTTGGACCCCTATCACAGGTGGCTAGGTTGTATGAATGAAGCCACCAGTTCTCAGGCCCCTGATGTGGGTAGGTGAGGACCTTGCTTAATGGGCAGAGTGGTATCAAATGTCACGAACCTGCCACTCCACCATATAGCTGATACAGAGAAGTTAGGCTTCAGGTATATACCCTGTTGTACTGTGCTAATGAG